CCCACATTTAAAGTGAATGCAGATTTTTTTGCCAAGAGCTCATGCTCTGGGCTCCAGCATTCGTTTGCCTGCCTGTACTCTGAATTACAGCTGGAGCATAATACAGTCAGGAGACAAAAAAAACAAGCAAAAATGCCCAAGTCAAGCAGGGTACTGATATCAAGTAGTCATCCTGTACTCATAATCCTTTGGGAAGGATGAAATAAAGTCTCCTTGAGTGCATCTTAGTTTGAAACTTAGCTCTAACTCTACTGACAATAAATACATAATATAAATAATGCTGAATTAAACTGGTGTCTCAAAGAAGGCTGGCAACCAGCTCTCAGCCTAAAAACAGTCACAAATACAAGCAGCTCAACATTCCAACAGGGAGCAAATAACTGCAGTGCTGTACAGGAGCCCATGTCCCTCCACTCACTGCTGCGGGGGCAGTAGTTCTGTTGGAGGCCAGCCTGGCATGGTGCACCCACTGATGCATTCTTGGGATAATCTTTCTGTTCAAAAATTAAATGTGAAAAAAAAAAATAAAATCCAAACTTTTTCCCCATGTACAGGCTGATTACTGTGTAGGAATTGAGAACTACTGGATTACCTTGTTCTTGATCCCATGGACATTACAAGACATAGCTGGTGGCTTCCAGGAGATAACCCCTTATGCCCACCAGCAGATGTTGGAAAATCAGGCCCCCAAGACTGAGGAGAAATCCCAGTTCAGTCTGGATGTTCACACTGGGCAGGTTGGTCACAACAAGAAAGTGTCCTCAGGCAGTTTCAGGAACTAAACAATCTTTAAAAAGGGAAATAGCAAAATTTGGTTTCACTGGTGCTGTAGCTACAGGGTTGAATTTGGGGAAGAGGGAGTACAATGAGGCCATTTTCATCTCCCTGACATTTTGGAGCCTTTGCACTGAATTAAAAGAGAACTTTTTCTTCCTCCAAGTATGCCTTCCTGAATCCAAAGCTTGAGGAGTGATCCCTTCAAGTCATTCATACTGACTAGGATTTTGGATTTTAAATTATTTAAAACAAATTATTTGCAAGATGAAATTTAGTGGAAGTTGTTTGCAATTAATCCTTCCAAGTTAGTTGTCCAAAGACTGGTTAGATCAGAGTTGCAACAGTTTTACTTACTGACTTTTCCAGATTTCTGTATGAGCTATGTGTGGTATTTTTTTCTCCCCACACTTCTTGCTTTATTTAGCTACTCCTCTCTCATGAGGTACTGTATCTTTAATGTGGGTGACAATAGGGTTATACTAAATGGACTTTCTTTCTCAGCTGGGCTTTCATTCCTCTCAGCTTATACAAGGGTTGGACCACACTGTTGTGGAGTCTCAGTTTAATTATGTTTTAAAGGTGAACACAGCCTCATATGCTGACAGTAATGATATTCATGACTAAGCAAACCACTCCAACCACATTTTCCATCTTAGGCAGGATACTAAGATCCATTTTATCCAGGGCATATCATGCATCTTGCCACATCTATGTAACTTAGAGTGGATTTATTTTGAACGTGTGCTCATTTAGAAATGTATTTTAATTGAAATGTTTAGTGCTTTTTTCTTACACGCCTACTGTGCAATACCATAGTGTGTTCTTTTCCTTTTTTTTCCCTAAGACTTTAAAAAAATTCTTCGTGTTCTTTTGAGCTTAGGTGTGTTTCTGACTTGGATCAGTTCTGGTAGTAGCAATGCATGTTCCTTGCCTTGAGCTAACCAGAAGCAGCAGCAGAACATTGCACAACCAAAAAATCTTTGCCATTCATGCACCCTGATGTTCACCAGCAACCTGGTACTCCTGGGAGGTGGAGAATGCTTCTCTCTAGAGTATCTAATTTGCACTTACTGTAAAGAATTGATAGCAACCCAGGGAAATAGGAATAAACCAGCAAGAAGAGCCCTCACCTGCTCCCACCAAACACCACAGTAATTTTGCCATCAGCTTTCACAGGGACAGGCCATGAAAAATCAGATGCAGTTTCTAGCTTGCATGGACTGGTGCTGCTCTCCCTGGAGCAGAGCACATGGCTCACAAGCAGCTTTCTGAGAATTTGGCTCTGGGATTGGGGTTCAGGCCCAGTCTCTGCAATGAGCTATTTTAATGTAGGAACCTGATCACTGTGAGAAAGGCTTCTTAAAGACAATCAGCTTCTGGAATAAATGCTCAATACAATTTATTGGAAATTTCCAGTTCCATTCTCCATGTTTACAGCCTCTCTCTCATTCCAGATTACATTCCATTCTGGTGTTTGGTGGTACAGAGAATTAATTTACTCACAGTTTGTGTAATTGTCTTGAAACCAAGCAATTCAAAGGTGCTATAAATGTCCATAAAGCACATTCCCATCCATAGGAGGAAATGTTAACTTTTTCACTAGTTATTTTACACAGTATTTTTTAATTTATATCGGTGTGTTTCATATGTGTGCAAATGGTCCCAGCTTCTCTCATTGTAATAAGCTTTACAACCATTTGGTCTTTTTCTACAGCAGCCATATGCAGTATCTTGCAATCATGAGTAATTTCTTAACTTGGAGCAAGAATAAATTTCATCTGACATGATGAACTCATTTATTGCAGGCTCTAATGTTTGTTGTAAACACAACCTGTTTGTTCCACCTCTTGCATGGTTACTTATCTGTTTTCATATTGCTATGTTATTGTTCAAAATATCTATTTCTCTTTATTTGCTATGGGTTTTGTTACTGTATATGGAATGTTTTGTATTCAGCATTTTCTTACAGAGCAGAGTGGGAACAGTATTCAAGAACCCACAAATACCAAAGACCTTTCATGTAATGCACTGAGAAATAAACATACTGTAAATGAGTATGATGTCAGGTATCCTGTATTTACACAGTTCAAAGTTCAAGCAAACGACATCCTGAAATTTGGACATCTGTTATGCCTTTCTGCCATTTCAACTTTCTCTATGTTTGCATTAAAAAAATAACATTCTGCATAAAC